CTCATGTTTGAACAGACACATACACAGAATTATGTCAATAGTACCCGTCTCGACGATCATTCTCAAACGCAGTCGGTTATGTTTTTAATGAACGTAAACAGCTGAGAAAGAAATCGGATGTGTATCATTATACTGGATCCGTGCAGTCGGTTTTAAAGGGACAGCAGCCTATAAATACGTGCTGCTGAATATGTCACTAATGTTAACAAAACGGATACAAAGATTAATCTAAATTTAATTCATACAGTGAACACTATGCAGTGTTATTTTACACTTAATTATTAAATTTCTGTACCTGAATACTACGGTTTATATGATCTATGCTTGTAAATTGTGTATTTCTTTTTTTCTCTCTTTTTTTTTTACTGACTGTTCACTTGCCTTTAAATCACGTTTGAACTTTCTCAGACTATAGTTTTTGCTGTGGTATATGAAGTACTTAAAGTGTATGGAAAGCAAAGTTACAATGAAAAAAAATTGTCTTTTTTTTTTTTTTTGTATGTTCACACTGATGTTAAAATGACATTATGATTTGTGACATTACTTTTTATGTAATGCTAAAACACTGCTGGTCACTTTCAGAAGTTGTAGTGATTCTTTCTTTTCCAAGAAAGAATATGAAACAAATTGGTTATATAATTTTAATTTTTAAATATTTTAAAATATAATTGAAATTGATTTCACAACTTTAAGCAATATCCTATCGCATATAGAATTTAACAAGGTATCACATCGCATTTTTCTTCAATATCGCACAGCCATGCCAATATCTTCTGATGATTGCTTTAGTTTTAACCAGGGCTTTTTGTTGCTCAGGGCTCTTTGTGTTGCATTCAAAGCAACACAGATCCCAACAGCCAAGAATAAGGGAAGCAAAGCTGGTTTACAACAATTATGGGAAACAAGTCTTGGTGATGCTTCAAGATGCTTGATGTTTTCATTCTGTTAGCCACAAGGGCAATTGACTTAGCAGCTTTTCACAAAGAATAGAATAGAGGTGTTTAGAGACGTGCCTTTAAAGAGTTTAGCAGAGAGTTGTTGGAGGGAAAACATTACGCAAGTAAACTCCACAGAGTGAGCTAATTATGTAATTCAAAAAAAAATTCAATTTTTGTATGGATTCAGCATTCTATGATTTCACTTATCTTTCAAAACTAATTAAATTAATTCTCAATTAAAGCTGCAAAAGACACCCGCATCAGCAATAACTGGAGACCCAAAAAAAGTAATCTAGTTAAAGGCAAATGACAACAGAGTTAGCAGACATTCAATCATACAAAACTAAGACTATGATGGGTCTTCATCACTTGAAATAATTAAAGAAGGTAGTTTCAATTTTTGTATGGATTCAGCATTCTATGATTTCACTTATCTTTCAAAACTAATTAAATTAATTATCTCAATTAAAGCTGCAAAAGACACCCGCATCAGCAATAACTGGAGACCCAAAAAAAGTAATCTAGTTAAAGGCAAATGACAACAGAGTTAGCAGACATTCAATCATACAAAACTAAGACTATGATGGGTCTTCATCACTTGAAATAATTAAAGAAGGTAGTACAGTAGTAATAATTCAGCTATCTATAGATCGATCTGACAAGATGAGCTCTATACAGCATTTTAAAACTCCCTAGAAAAGCAGCAAGCAAGGTCAAGTGTAAAAACTGGGCCAATCACATAGTGCAGCACAATCAATATAATGGAGGTCCGAGGGTTCCGATAATTCTAGCAGCCACAGGTACGGATAGAGCTGCAGGCTGCTAGAAATCTCGACGTGCTTTGGGCAGAGTATTGATTGGCTAAGGAGGAAAAAAAATCTGGACATTTGCTTCACTTACAATTAACCATGTTACACTGTTAGCCTTGGGTCACCACAAATGCATCATTTTGAAAACTCTTAATTCATTTAAAACAGCTCAGATTAATTGCCTCTCACAGATACCCAGAAATCTGATGAACCATACGCAAAAAAATAAAAAAATCTATAAACTTAATTTTGTTGCCAGCATTACATTTTGTCTCGCAGTGCATCCAGCCGCCTGGCTTCACATGATTAAATTATCACTTCTTAATGGTTTTGAGCTGAAAAGGACAAGAGAACAGCAAATGACAAAGGCCTGATGCTGTGGAATCCAGCCCTGGGTGTAAAACAAAGAGGACCGATACAGTTGATAAGTTCCTCGACAAACGTGACAATGCATTTTGGGCTCCAGTCAGAAGCAGAAATAAATAAATTAAAAAAAAGAGGATGTCAGTTAATTGTTGTAGAATGATGAGGGATAATCGCAGCGTGTAAAAGGGAATGAGAGATGGGTGGAAGGGAGAGAAAGTGAGAACAGAGAAACTGACTCATGCTACTACACCTACAGTTCTCTAGATGACTAATGAATTCTACATTAATCTATCAACTTCCAGATGTATTCGCAGTCAAGTGGGAAGATGAAAAAAAATGGTGATTTCATCCTATGAGAGTGAGGAAGCAAAAAGAGACAAGATATATATATATACGCATCTATATATATATATATATATGGTCATTTTGACCCCACGGGGTGAGATCTTGCGTGGAGCCCCAGATCGAGGGAGATTATCAGTGGTCTTGTATGTCTTCCATTTTCTAATAATTGCTCCCACAGTTGATTTCTTCACACCAAGGTGCTAACCTATTGCAGATTCAGTCTTCCCAGCCTGGTGCAGGTCTACAATTTTGTTTCTGGTGTCCTTTGACAGCTCTTTGGTCTTGGCCATGGTGGAGTTTGGAGTGTGACTGTTTGAGGTTGTGGACAGGTGTCTTTTATACTGACAACGAGTTCAAACAGATGCCATTAATACAGGTAACCAGTGGAGGACAGAGGAGCCTCTTAAAGAGCAAGTGCTCTCTTTAGCAGAGCGACGCCACTTCTGACACCACTGTGTGCAAAATTTTTCAACAGCTAATCGAGGCAGAGGAAATCTGAGCAAACCCTCTCACCACAAGAGACGGAGACAAGTACCTGTGGTGACTGATTTGTTGCAAATTTAACAGGAGGATGCTGAGGAGGTTCACCTAATTGACTTTACTCATATTGCCCAGGCAAACATATATGATACATCATAACAGAATTGTTGATATGAGCTGGACTAATAGACGCCCTCTAATTAGGGATGTTAGAGATTAAATGAAGTGCTGTGCTAATCTCTTAAAGCCTTCTCTCATCATTTCATGACAGAGAGCATCCATTTCAAAGTAGCAAATAAAAACAGTATCAAAAAACGCATCAAGAGCAACAGTCTGTAAACACTCTGCTGCAGCTGCTTGTAGATGAGGTCCCGGTTGGCCTTGTACGCGGCCACGTCTGGGTGCTGCAGACAGGCACGCGAAGCCGTGTACAGCATGGGAACGTTCCTCTGCAGGACGCCACGAGCTGCCGCCATTTGGTCCTTGTGATGGACGTCCTTGAGTTCCTGTCATATGAAGAGGGAGAATTCAGGGGTGATGTTATAGGCGTGTCATAATTAGGACATTAAAGAGAACCCCCAAGGGCCCACACATGCTCATAATCAGATTATGACCATACAGCCTGGCAAATATGCCATTGTAGAAACACGTGCCATGTGGAACCCAAGTAAATATGATCACTTCTGTTAAGTGAGCACATTGGGTAATGCGTCTACTTTTTTTATTGCCAGTGTACATAAAAATGAGTCAGAAGGAAATCTTTTTTTTTTTTTTCTTCAAGCCATAAGTGCCACATTTTTAAGAAGACGTGTCAAGTTAATAATCAACGGCCTGCTCCATACGCACTTCGTCTAGCTGTTTGAAAGAGGGAACGCATCCTGCGTGAATGCCCTCTAATCTCTGAAGTGTTGCTGTTGCTGCCCCATACTTAAAGTCAGTGTGCAGCGTTGACACAAATTGCTGTCTGTCAGAACACAAGTTAAAGCCAAAAAATACACTTTGTGTCCAGTTTGAGTATAGTTGACACAGGATTCTGATCTATATGAAATGTTTTGAAGATGAGGGGGGAAAAAAAGGGACAATTTTTGTGCTTTCATGATCGATCTTTGCTGTCAAACCTGAGATCTCCCAAGTGTGGACTAGCCCTCACTGAAAATGACTTCTGTTCTCAGTGGGAAAAAAGCATAACTCCTGAGACGGAAGTGTGTAAAAATTTTTTTTAAAGTTTAAGAAGTTAAATACCACAGCAATTTGCACCTTGGGAGTGAGGCTGTAGCATCTGCCGACTGATTCACAAAAATAGGCCCAGTGTAGCATGAGAGGGGAAATCACACTGAATAAATAAAATGAACATCTCTACTATTATATAACTATAATTATATTTGAGCGGAGAAATAATTAGCATTGTCAAGATATAATAATCTAATAAAATCTCGATTGCAAAACAACGTTCTTTCTATTAATCAGTGAGCTCACCTGGAAAATTCATCCTGAAATCCATCACTGCTGAATACTGCTTATCCTGATAAGCCCCCAAAAAATCCCAAAGACCCAATTCTCATATCATTTAAATGGATTTTGTCATTCTAGCTGCTCAAACCCAGTCTTGCTTTTCCCCTCTCCGACCGGTACAAAGAAGATTGTTCGTGCTTACACGCGTCAAATCTTCAACCTGTGCTACATAGCTCCTTATTGCACATGTGGGTGGAGGATGCATGCTATTCGAAGTCAATACATCCCCGAATGAAATCTCCTCAGATTATGAGAACATTGGGTACGAGGAGTGGCTGCATTTTACCTGCTGCCTCTTGGCTGCCATCATGTTCAGTTTGTCCACCTCCGGTTTCAAAGCTTTGTATTGGATACCCAGGTCCTGCTCAGTGCCAGCGTTGCGCACCTTCACCAGGCTCTCCTCAACCTGTGGGTCAAGCATAAACCATTAAAGAAAAAAGTCTTAATCTATGGTCTATGTTCTAAGTGCGACATTTGAAAATCATTCATGCGTTTATCCTGAAGGCTTTGTATTTCTTAATCACCATAAAACTCTATTAAAAGGGCCTTCTGGGATATATTAATATTTAGAACTTATTGTGAGCTTTTCCTCTTTTTATTGATAGAGACCAAAGAAAGAACTGGAGAGAGGGAGAAAGAACAGACCTTACTAGCTGGATATATAATAAAACATCTAAATACTACAAATATTTAATTTACAATTATTTACAGTATATGCACAAATATATAGATATAAAAATGTACATAATATACACATGTATTATATATAAATGCATTGATCGCTGTGCTGAAATAAAAAGGAGAAAGCAAAGCTGTAAAAATTAAAAGGCATCAATATGAAATTATTGTACTGAAAAATGATTAGTGACATATCCAGTGAGCCAGAAAATCTGCCACCTACATTCAAATTGTAATCAGTGCACCTCTTGAAATAAAAAAAATAATAATAATAATAATTGTGTATATATATATATATATATATATATATATATATATATATATACAGTGGGTACGGAAAATTTGATAACTCAAGCCAAGCTCCCAGAACAATTCAATGAAGAAAAGCAGCAAGAAAAACAGTGCCTACTCTTCCAAAAAAAAGCTTCAGCTTCCACTTCCATCATGAACTTAAAGCGAAAAACACTAGCATTACAATCTAACTGTAACACTGAAAAAATAATCCACCTGTATCATATTATATATTTTCAATGAAGGGAGACTTTACACAGCCCTGCCAACATGGTGAAATCATTTTGTGCACAAACGTGACAAGATCTCTACGCTGCATCAGGGACTACACAAAGTGTGATTCAATAGTGTGTTGCTTGCAGAAAACAGAAAGTGGATGTAATCTAGTTTGTGCCAACAACCTATAGACTAAATGCAAACAAATCTGATATAAAACCTATGTGAAACACAAATTGTAGACTACAGGAATGCTTGCAATATGCAGGGCTTTCTTTTTAAATATGAAGTGTTAATATTCACACACAGTAACTGGGTTTGCCGTGCATATAATTACTGTTGGAGGAAGCTCAAGAAGAGTTGGGCAGTAAACCCAGAGGGTAATAAAATCACTGACACCAGTGCAGATGATGAAGAGGGTAAATAGGACTAAACTCAGGCATCTTTTTGTGTGCTTTACCCAGCCTTCTGGACCAAAGCCAGTTCCCTGCGGTACTCCCTTCGGCTTTAGCTTTTTCTCAGATCCAGAGACTGACGAGGGGTAGAGATAATGAGGGTTACAAATGGAAATTTGAAATCAGTGGTGGACTGAGTCTAAGTGATACAGCAAGATAATAAAGTTCAAAATAACCTTGCTATCAGCCATCTACAAATGTAAATGTTAGCACCAGTTAAACACACACATTTTGGCTAATTTCCAGCTCAAAACTTTTTTGAGAAGAGTTTGAAAAAGTGTCATATTTCAAAAAGACCAGCCTGATACTTTGCCAGAGTTTCTGCTGGTTGGCATGATGTGAGCCACTCCGAAATGAAATGGAAATTGCTGGGCACATACTCTGCCCATTTTCACATAACCCCTCCAGGCATGTCTAGAGTGATCAAAATGTTAAAAGAATCATTCACCCAAAAATGAAAATTGTGTCATCATTTACTCTCGACAGACACCAAAGGTTCTGATATTTCTTACAAGTGAAACGTGACATGCAAATAAATATGCATATGCATGAAAGAGATTTGTGAGCTACAACAGAGGGTAAGATGAATAGTGAATATAAGGACTTAAAGCTAATGCATGGCTTCAGAAAACTTGTATTACAGGGTGAGAATCATATAGACCACTTTTATAGGTACTGTTTTTAAGAATGAAAGCTCATGGTTATCATATATCATGGAAAACAGCATCTCTGATGTTCATTTAATCTCCACACAGGTCTGGAACTACACCAATGTTCCAACGTTTGGGGTCTGTAAGATTTTTAATGTTTGTGAAGGAAGCCTCTTATGCTCACCAATTATTTGACCAAAAACAAAGTCATACTGAAATATAATTACAATTTAAAATAACGAAATGTTTTCGATAACGATTAGACAGTATTTTGCCGAGTGTGTTATCGTGCTGATATCTGACTACCGTGGATAGCTGCAGTTTTTTATATTATTCATATTCTGTGTGGTCAGTTCACATCAGTGATAGAAATTAATATTTTCATAAGTTTAAATTGATTTATACCTTTTATGGGCAATTTTACCTTTAATAAAATCATGTTTTTCTAAAAGTGTGCATCTTTTGAGTCAAATTGTTACATTTAATCAGTCAATTAGAATAATAAGACATTTAGGCTGTTACCAAACAAATGAAACCAGTATCAACAAAATTAATCTTTGCAGAAGTTGCATCTGAAGTGGCATTTACACACTGTTTAATGCAGCTCAGAGGGACATGAAGTGCTTTAACCTGCAGTTACAAATGCATAATGTTTTTATATTTTAAAGGGGTGGTTCACTGGATTTTTTTCTAGGCTTCATTGTGTCCACACACAAACGCAGTACCAGGTCACTGAAACTGAACATTTTTGAAAACTCCTGCCAGGGTGAAGGTTTTCAAAAATTCCGGTTGCAGTGTTATCGTGTAGACAGTGAAACAGGACGTTGGAGCCTGCGCGGTTATCTCCGCCTACTGGAAACTTTTTCAGGCTTCTGATTGGCCAAAATGGCTTTACCGTTGAGATTATATCGCCACCTGTTGGTTTGGCATGCTCTTGAAAGGGCTTCATAACATGCGTTTTCAAGTGGACGGAGATTTTTTTTTTAAAACTGAAGAAAAAAACTTTTTTTCTTGATGGCTTCGCCCTCTTTGCTGCCTTTTCCCGAGGGCGGGGTTTATGTCGTCATGAACCCGGGAAGTAACTTCTTGTAGTCCCTACCAGCAGTTTTTGTAGGCATTAAACTGCCAGAATTTTAAAAGACGATATCTCCGTTTACATTGAACTTTTAGCTTCGGAACTTTGCAGATATTGTTTATGCTCAAACAGCAACATTACACACTAACTAACCTTAAAGTGAAATCGCAATGAACCACCCCTTTAAACATAAAACACTGAATACTGATATTTTAAATTTAAAAAATGAAAAGATACTTTAAATGTGAAATTATATTAATAGACTGAATCATGCAGTGAAAGAACGCACTCTAAATGCGTATGCGCACTAAGTTAGTGTAGTCACTTATGCGTGCACTCTGTAGTAGGGTTGGGTACCGAAACCTGGTGCCATAAGTAACCGGTATGCCACTTAAACACCTGAGCAATATATTGAAATATTTGTCCTGGTTCTCCGGAATGGACGTAAGAAGCATGGGCATCACTAGGTAATTTTTAGCGGGGCTATAGTGATTAGCTCCATAAACCGTATACAAATTTGTGATCGCCTTAGAGTCAGTCCCCTTTAAATTTCATATGAAAACGGCGGCAGACTTGGTCTCCTCCCTGTCTTTCAGCGCGCTCTTCAATCCGCAGACTGTGGCGGCGCAACACGAGCGGACTCAAACAGAAACAGAGGACACAAGGTTTGTGTTTATTGATAGATTGTTATAATATCTGTATCTGTGCAGTTCTGTGTCATAAATACAGTTTACAAAAGGTCACGAGGGAGCAATCGGTTTCCCATCTACTGTAAAGTTTTCACTGCGTTCACCCCTCATCACACCACAGCTGTTTCCTCCAGCGAAAATCTAGCCCATAACACATACTTTATAAAACGATCATGCTGCTATTTTCATTTGAAAATGTAATATTTAATATAAAACACATTACAGTGCATGTGGCATACCATAGTCATTCACAGAACTGATTAAAGAGTGACAGACAGCACTCAAAGTCAATTCACTCATTTTAACTAAATATCAGTGTGATTGACAGCGATACAGTGGAAACATTATGTGTGGTTTTGTATTAAATAATGACCCAGATCGTAAAATACATTTATTAGCCTTAGAGTAAGAGAAGCACAACTCAGGAAATGAGAGCATATGAGGAGCACGTGAATGCTATGTATATTTATTTTTTATATTTTTAATGTTCTTTAATGTTATCCATCGGGGGGTTTTTTGGTGGCTCTTTTTTTAAAAGTATCGGTTCAGGCACTGTTTAGGCACTGGTACCGTTTTAAAAGTAACTATTTGGCACCGGTAACGTAAAAAACCCAATTAATACCCAACCCTGCGTTTTGTTTGGTTTTTGCTAAATATAGGCTACTCAATTTCATGATGTCTCACGAGTTGAGTATTTGCGCTAAACCTGCGCAGATTTGGCTTGCACGAATGTCCCCAAGAAATTATTGTGTGAACAGAACTTACGAAAAGTTCCCCGCCACAGCTGATTTAAACCCACATTTGGCAGGTTGGCGGGTGTTAATTTCAAACCCTGTGTGAGTGTGTGTATATATATATATATATATATATATATATATATATATTCATAATTTATTGATTCTCCCTAATTCCTCTCTTTCATCTTTTAAATATTCCTTTCTAAAATAGCCTAACGCTTACATACACTCAGAAAGTCTTCCAGTTTTGTGGACGTTCACACAAAGGTCACTAGTCCACAGCATTTGAGCACTGGATTTACACAAAAATCAGTTCAGGTTTAAGAAGTGTTTCAACTTTGCATCAGCTACTAGTGAACATACATTTTTATTTGCATTATCACTCAAGAGGTTAACCGCTTTGGAAGGCTTTTGTCTTTCAAACACATTAAATGCACAATTCCACACTATTTCTTATTTACATGTAAAACTTTTTTGTCAGCCGAACCTCTTATAAATACTTGAAGTACCCCTAAGATTTTAAATTAAATATTTTAATAAATAAGTATCACATTTACATCTTCACGGTTCTCTGGTGTTGGTGAATGGTCACATGACATGCAGGTAAACAAAACA